AACAACCTGATTGTAAGATTGAAAAGCATCATCGATAAGAATAGAGACTCTTTCATTTGATAAATGTTTTGTTTTAATTTCTAAGTCGTTCGGGTTTTTTCATCTAAAAAAAGCGACTTAATTGCTTGATGACTTAATAATAAAATAGTTCTAAGGTGTCACCCTAGGCTACCCTTGCAAGACAGTTTTCTTTGAAGTTCTTTTACACATTCACATACAACTTTTTAACCGAGTAGCTTCACTCCTTCCCTAATCTCCAACTCCCTTTGAAAATTTCTTATGCTTAAAAAAATGGACTGACCTTTATATCTTCGGTAATACGTTTTGCAGCGCGTGTTAATAGCTCTGAGAAGCATAACATATACCAGCTCAAAAATAAATTGGACAACAATAAATATATGATAACCTGTAATTAGATATCCAGCACAACAATAAATATATAATAACCTGTAATTAGATATCCAGCACAACAATAAAAACACAACCACCTATAATTAGATATCCAGCACAACAATAAAAACACAACCACCTATAATTAGATATCCAGCACAACAATAAATATATAATAACCTGTAATTAGATATCCAGCACAACAATAAATATGTAATAACCTGTAATTAGATATCCAGCACAACAATAAAAACACAACCACCTATAATTGGATATCCAGCACAACAATAAATATATAATAACCTGTAATTAGATATCCAGCACAACAATAAAAACACAACCACCTATAATTGGATATCCAGCACAACAATAAATATATAATAACCTGTAATTAGATATCCAGCACGACAATAAAAACACAACCACCTATAATTGGATATCCAGCACAACAATAAATATATAACCATTTACAATTCACTTCTGTCTGTCTGTCTGACTCTGGACATGTCAAAAACGTTTATTTGGGGAAAACTTCAATCCTGCCCAATAAAAGAAAATATTAAAGAATAAAAATTGTAGATACTATGTCAACTCAACAAGTTATGTTCGAATCAAAATATTATGTTGAATCAAAATATTTTCAAAAGAATATCATCTTCCTTTTAACTCTAACTTGAATTGAATTGTTCGTATCAACTGTTATTATATTTGTACCTTTTATATATACTGACGATTTATCGCATATTTGTAAGAATGATATTCCAAGTCTCATGCTTACATTGGAATAACTTCCTTCATAGTCGGTCGTACTAAGTCTGATGGTCATGAGTATGCACACCATAATTTCCACTGTAACAAGCATCTGTGAAAAACAGCGAGGTCAACCTCATACCATAAATCTTGACAAATGTCCACAGACCATCAAGTTTAAAAGAATCAAGAACACAAAACTGCATTAGACCTGTAGAAGTTAGCTGGTATATGTTTGAATGGAATTGCTCTGGATCCAGTTTCTTCGGCTGTTTTTCTAATGGAAACTACTATTGATTTCAGGTGTAGCTGGTAGCTTATGTGTTTTGGGCTTGCAAGCTTTCCCCTACTTCAGATCCTTATTTGTAATTTTGTTCATGGTATATGGAGACATGCCAGACTTTATCGCAATGAATTTTTGGGTCGGAGGATTCTCTTTCATAACCATAATCATAATTACCCATTGCGACATTGCATGTGGAGTGGACATGAATTTTTCATAAACTAAATATATAAGTTCTAAACGAGTCTTAGCATTAATAAATGCAAATCGTTCTTACAAAGTTTAGTTCACGTATATGCGTGGAAACAGTAGAGAATTGAAGTACAGCGGAAATTCTTTTATACATTTTGTGAAAAATAATATCCTCAGTCAGAAATTCGAGTGAAAAACAATATATTGTTCAATAGATTACTTCTATTTTAAACTCTTATAAAACCTATAAATATTTGCATCAATATTTTGCGCATAAATTTCATCAGTTCAAAAATTGATCTTCAAGAGTTGGGTATGGTAATACAGGAGTAGTGGTGAATTCTTTCTTCAGTTTATTGAATGTTTGTTCACAATCAATAGTCCAACAAAATGTATTTGACTTTTAATGTAATTTGTGTAAAGGACAAGCTATGTCATAAAATGATTTTACAAAACGACAATAGTAAGGGCACAGTCGAAGAAAGTCTCTTACATAACACAAATTCTTGGACAGAGTAAATCTTCTCTGGGGCTGGATACACTCTTTCTTTGCCGACTTTGTGTCCCAGGAAACTCAGGTGTTTATGGAACAATTCACACTTTTTCAGATTCAGCTTAAGAATTTCTTTTATCAACTGATCCAGAACTTTTCTTAGCCCACAATTAGCATTATAAAAAGTTTTCACATGTGTGATTGTGTCATCCAAGTGAATGAGTATAATGTTTCAGGGTCATTCAGACAGAACATACTCCATTAATCGTTGAAACATAGCAGGTGTATTATATAATACAAATGGTAACATGACAACTTGCCACCATCTATTTCATGCAGTAAATACTCTCTCTTTTGTGTGCTTGCTTTATCGACTTGCACCTGCCAAAATTCACCCTTCAGATCTAATGTTGAAAACCATTTTGGTCCACATAAAGCAATTTAAATCCTTGGCAGTCACTAGGCATCATTCTTTGTGACTTCATTTACCTTCTGGTAGTCCAATGCCTTATGGATCCAT